GCTTTCTTCATCTTGACCGATAGTTCTTTTTGGTTTGGCCACCTGCTGTTTTCTAAGTATTTACCAGTCAATTTTCTGGTTCGCTTCCTCCATTTTGTATCGACATTCTTCATGTACAAGTAGCTGAAAACCTTCCTAGCCCAACGCTCCACCCCCATTTCTCTCAATCACTTCTCAAATGTTATCTTGCTGCTAACTTTTCTGCTCTCAAATGATGTCCATCCCATATCACGTTGTACTCCCTGATTTGGTGTATTCCCGTGAGCTCCAAAAGCAAGCCTACATATTCCACGTTGCCTAATTTCTAATCTTGCTTGAACTTCTGATGTCATGCACTAAACCGCAATGCCAAACGTCAGACCAGGAACCATGACCCCTTTCCATATTCCTCGCACAACATCATACCTATTGTAATTCCACAGTGCCCTATTTTTCATGACTGCTGCAATCCTGTTACCTTTAGTCGTCACGTATATTTTGTGTTTCCTTATTTCCTTAGGTACTGGGTCCCATTGCTTATCCATACGCCCAGATATTTGTATTTATCTGTTATCCCTAGCGTGACCTCCTGTATTCTAAGCTCACCACCTTCATTATCATTAAAAATCATGACTGCTGATTTTTCCTTACTGAATCTGAAATCTAATCTATCTCTCTTATTACCGCAGATGTCCATCGATCTCTGCAAATCTTCCTTGTTGTCCGCCATTAGCACTACATCATCTTCGTAATTAATGCTGGTAGTGCCTGATCAATGAGTTTTCTTTGTTTGACGAAAGAGAGGTTGAAGCCAAGTTCACTTTCCTCTAATTTGGCCTCTAATCCTTGTAGGTACATCATGAATAACAAGGGTGACAGAGGACACCCCTGCCTAAGCCCCCGTTTCACCTCTGTGGGCTTGGATACCTGTTTTTTCCACTTTATAACCACCTTGTTTCTTTTATAGATTTCCTTTAAAAGATTAGTCACTCCATCTTCCACACCTAGTGTGTCCAGTATTCCCCACAATTCCTCTTGAACCACGCTATCGTACGCTCCCTTGATATCCAAGAATGCTAGCCACAGGGGCCTGAGTTCCTTGTCTGCTATATCGATGCACTGCGTCAGTGAGAACAGATTGTCTTTCAACCTCCTGTGTTTCCGAAACCCATTCTGTGTTTCCGAAACTTAGCACTCCTTCATCCTCTGTCCATGCCTGCAGTCTTTCCTTTAAAATCTGCATCGCCAGCCTGTAGGTCACTGATGTCACTGTTATAGGACGGTAGTTGTATAAACAACTACCGTCCTATAAACAACAGGGGGACAAAGCTGACATAAGTCAGCTTTGTCACCCTTTCCTTTATAGATCATGCTCATCCTGCTAAGTTTCCATCCATCGGGAACTTCACCATCGATTATTAGTTTGCTCACTGCCTCTCTCAAAGCCTGCTTAGACTTCGGACCTAATGTCTTTATCAGCATAATTGGAATGCCATCTGGGCCTGTTGATGTACTACTAGGAACCCTTTTCTCAGCCCTTTCTCACTCTCGTTGTGAAAATGGAGCCATTGCACCACTTGATTCATTCTTGTCTATTGTGGTGCATAAAGCACTTCTTTGTTGAAAATTCTCTGTCACCCTTGTTCTTATACAATAGCTTCGTCCCCTTCTAGCCTAGCACCTTGAGCTGTAGTTATAAACCTCTGCTCTAGGCTCGTCTCATTTCTTAGGGAGTTCAGATGGTTCCAAAATTTCGCAGCTGCCTTTCTATCTTTTTATGTACTTCTGCCAGCCACTGAGCTCCCGTTCTTCTAATCTTTTCATTGATCAGAAAGGCTGCATCCCTTCTACAGCTTAGAAAGGTTTCCCATTTTCTTTCAACATCATCTGCTGGTTCACCCCGCTGCTTAGCATGTCTGTGTTCTCTAGAGGCTTCCTGACGTTTTGCTGTGGCTCTCTTAACTTCCCCATCCCACCAACTTTTGGGTTTGTGTCTTCTTTTTCGGGGTGACTTGTCACGCGTCTTAGCAAGCTCTAGCTCAAACAGTCTAATCAGATTCGTGTATGTCCACACTTTTATTATCCTCCATGATTACTTTCTCAATTTGTTTAGTGGCTATTTCAATTTGCCTTTCTGAATAAAAAAAATTTTCCTGTAGTTGCTCATCTTGTCTCCTCACCACTTTCACTGCTCTTCCAAAACTTCGCTTGATAAGTTTGTTCACTACCCAGACTTCTGGAGCCACCTTCATCTATGTGCATTCCCCTGAGCTTATGGTACATCCTATGTGACATTATTGCATAATCTATCGTCGACTGCAGCCTTCCTACCTCTCATGTTATTTGCCCTTCACACTTCTCAGTACTGTTGCAAATGATAAAATCATGCCTTTCACACATATCTATGATCATTTTGCTTGTTGAGTCAGTATACCCACCTATATCTTCAATATGCGCATTCATATCTCCTAGTATAATTATCTCGCACTCTCCTAATTCCTCAACTTCCTTTGATATACACTCGACCATTGCCTGGTTTTCTTCTTTAGCCTTTGCTCCCGTCCACAAGTACACCAAACCAGGGAGTGTCATTTGCCCTGCCACTTTCCCTTTTAGCCACAAATGTTCCTTGCACTACTGCTTGACCCTTTGCCAGTCTGTACTTTATGAACGAATGCCCCAATACCCCCCCCCCCTTTCTGCTGCCTTCTGTTCTATTACAATATTACCATACGTAGTCCGGATTGCAAGGTGGTTGCTCCATGTCCCGAAGATGTGTCGCCACAACCCCATATACCATCAGTTCCTCCTGCCTCAACTGCTCTTATATCTCTTCCTACTTTAACCTAATCCTGCCACCCTGCATGTTAATATAGCGCACATCTGACTTAGCTCGGTCCTTGTGCTTACGTCGATTTCTTCTCCCACGGACTCCGTGGGGCTTGAATAAGTGTGCCCCATTAGAACCGTCTTTGGCTACACTGTTGGCCTCAGGGCTCTGGGTCTCCCTAAAAAAGCTGTGGCTCGACGACCCATCCTATTACCAACCCCCCTGTCCGTTGCACCACTGTAGTGAATGCCATCCTGTGCAAAGAGAAGAGCACCGGGCTCGTATACGCCTTGGTTCACCTCCATTACGCTGTATCCGAGTTGCCGGCTCATACCCTTGATCATACCGTTGGCCTCCACTACCCTCCTTTAAGTCCCACGAGACTTCCCCCAGACCTCTGGGACTGTGCATATGGTCACATGCACACTCCCGGAGGCTTGTCAGAGCTTACGCATCCCATCCTTTAACTGTCTTTGAAGGTTCTGATCCTTGCCCTTCAACACATCATTGAGCCCAGCATGTATAAAGACGAGATTTTCGCCCTTGATGCTGTCCTCTACAACCTCCTGAGCTTTGGCCAGTGCATCCACCATGCCCTTCCTTGACTGGGCCTCCACTATCACTCTCCCATCTTCCTTCACTGTCTTGAAGATGCCATCCCTAACCCTGGCCATGTTAGTCTGCTCCCGTTCCGCCCTAAGCTCCCCCTGAAGCCCCTCGATGCTAGGCTCTATGCGCTGCACAGCCGCTTTCAGTGCCTCGCACAGCCTGCACACGAAGCTCGCCTTCTGCGCGCCGGCCAAACTCGAGAATTCTGTCTCATCTAGTAGCACCAGCACTTGCATTCTTCGCACTGCACTAGCTCACTCTTGCTCGTGGTTTTCCTAGTCTCCTTAGCCATCGCCCGCCCGACCATTGTACCAAGCGCCCGACAGCCCTACGTTTAACCCTAATCCCGCTATCCAGCCGCCTCCGTTAACACTCCTACCTCAACAACTGTTTGAAGCTGCCGCCTACACCACACACATACGTGTTCAATTTCGCTAGTAGCCTCTCACTAGGTCCCCTTCGCGTTCGGCTCTAGCTGTTTAACAACTAACCGGGTGCCCCGAACTACTTATCAGAGGAGGGGGCACCGTCATCATCTTCATCGGCCGCCGATTAATAATGGTGCTCTCAGGTGCATCTGCATGCCCATGCGCGTTGTTCGATCCTCGTGCGTCGTGCTCCGTCGTCACAATGTAAGAATGTGTCCGCACTCTAGAATAAAGCCCACTTCAGTTCCTAAAGTCGGCCTGAATGGTCTTCATGTTGTTGTTTTTTTTTTGCTCGCCACCACACGCATGGTTATAGAGGACCTAACCTCGGTCCGCACGCCCTACGTGCCACCTGGAGTGTACGAACGCGATGCATAGGCTACTTGCGGTACCCAGCTCGTCGACCACTATGCAAAGGGGTTTATTAACGATACCAGGTTGTAGACAGGCAGCTGGTACAGACGGAAATAGTCGAATGGGCCCGGCGACCACAGCTTGTGCACACCGCTCGCGCTTCGCACTAAGGGAGGTCCCACTGGTGATTACCTTGGCAATAACAATATTAGCAGAAGACAATTCGTCAATACATCATTTACCCCATACAAGCCTACAGTCTTGAGCCTGTGATGGCAGCCAGAGGTCCGGCCCGTGAGGCCAGTAACCAAAATTGCCCTCGGCCAAACCTTCTTAACCAAGCTTGGGCCATGACCGGCTAGGTTGGTCTTGCATGTTGGGTCAGCATAGGGCCGAGATCGGTATTTTCTGTGGGGTGGCGTACGTGGTGCAATACACAATCCTCTCTCCTTTCTTCAACAGCATGATGCATGGCAATTTGCAGTGTTCGCATAACAGCTAACTGGAAATAATCTGAATCTGGGAAACTTTCGAAACAAGGGGGGTGGGTGGCGGTAGGCACGCCGATTGACCACCTCCCCCTCCCCCCCCACTTAGCTTATTTTTTTCGCACAGCCATAGCGACTCTGTTTTACTCGGTTACTCGATGTGAAAACATGACCAAGCAGACTAAGTTTGTCCTTAGAAGTAAAAAATAAATCCCTCGGCATTAATTCCCTTCTCCCAGCCCACTTCTATCGTTTTACTAATTTCTGTGTCCCCAGAATGGCAGAGATGTCAGTGCGAAAGGTGTCCAGCAGTTGATGGAGATGCAAAAAGGTTTTATTGGCTATCTCAACAGCAACAGGTACAAAGTCCAGTCAAAAATTGCTGGAAAAAGACAACAAAGAAAAATAAAACATGTTGGGGGGGGGAGCAAACAAACAAAACTCAACAAACAGAGACCCGCGTGCGGGGTGCGCCTGCATTTGCCATGCCTCACTACGGCCCCGTCGGCCTTTTATCTTCCTCGCTCTCATTCCAAGGATGCTTGACTAGAACCCTCAACAAAAACTCCACCAGTGGACATACGGGGCCGTTCAAGCAGCCAGCCGCCCGCAGAAACAAGCGCACGGCTGTCACGTGGCCCTCAACTCTTTTGATTGCTTCCAGCTGCAACGGTGCCCGCATGTGGTGAGCTCGCAGAAACAAACAAGATCATCTTACCTAACAGCCAGAGAACTTTCCAAGATTTTGTCTGACTGTGACGAATCAACCAACTAATAAAAGCATAATTTTTCAACAAAAAACATTTCACTATACAAAACTAACATTTTCTTTATTGCATAGCCCGACTTGCCCTTGAAAACGAGTCTGTCTGTCTCTGTGGCGAGTCCATGCATCTTACGAAAACCAAGAGACCAGCGTTTGGTGCACTCAGGGTATTTTACAGGCACTCTTTAACATCTGTCAAGCAAAGAGTGCTTTATGATCGCAGTTAGAACAAAGATAAAGAGCAAGAGTGGCAAGTCCACTAATTGTTGTGCAAAATATCCTCGAGAATTCAGTGAGGTCAACCGTCACCATCTAGGTCTATTCAAGGGGTTCCACAGCTTGCCAAAATGAGTTAATAGGTAAGCAAACCTTACCAAAGCCTGTCAGTGCAAGCATAATGTTCGTGTAAAGATTGTGCAAACAATATGTGCCAGCAATCCATGGCTTTGTCACGCCCCTGGAATGTACCATAAGGCTTAAATGACAAGCAGGCCTGTTTCAAGTACAAAAATTTTTGCAAAACAGTACCTGACTGCTAATGATAGCTGAATATGTCTTCACTGCATGGTAACCATCACGTGGTACGTACTCACGGCAGCTAGCAAGCATGATTATCAAAATATTATAGTGAGACTTTGCTTGTCTTGCGCACTAGACGTTATGACAGGTCAAATCACTCTTTTTCAAGGGCATTACAAAATCCGAGCAAACATGCTGTTGTCTCGACCAATATTTTGTGAGTCTCCTTAGCTTCTGCAATATAAATTCTACATTTAAGTCATCATAAGCATAACCAGTCAAGTTCGCTGAGAGCGCATGCAGCAATCGCTGCACAAGCACAATGTATGCAATGCAGCAAAAACTCATAATGAAATAGTATTCAGCATAAAGAAGTCTTCGTTATACACGACGATTGTTATAAGCACAAGAGAGAGATATTTTCACTCTATCCGATGACTCCATACATCAATGACTGCTGTATCACAGCTATATTGAATTTGCCTTCCACATGGCACTAGCGTATCCCTTTTAGCAAACTGCTTCCGCAGAAGTTCAGCCACTTAAAGCAAGAATAGAACAGCCATCTAGAAAAACTGCAAAGCAGCACTTTATCTGAGTGCGACATGCAATGTACACCTTACTGGTTTTGACGTGAACGCAAGTTCACACGACGTCACAGTTCTAAAAGCAGCCTTTGAAGACATACCGTGATTGAGCATGAGTGCTACAAGCGTCAGTGTGCAAAGATATCACAGCAACTACAGAAAACTATGGTGCCAAAACTCAACATGAAGAAACAATCACGTGTACTTTCAACAGCACAGCATGATGATGGCCACTTGGCTTTTCAGCCACACACTCTCGGCATGCTTGACTGGCATTGTGAACAGACCATTCGAGTCGAAACAAATTGGGTGCACACTAGCTCAGGATGATTCGTACGAATGAATTCTCATTTACTGCGTGCAGCGGCACGAATCTAAAGCACTTGTGTAATGCCAAGTTTATCCATACAACTAACTCGTCCTTTCCATTGTGGCCATTACACTGCAGCATTCATGGTGCAAAGTTGTGCCACCTCTGTACCAACAGTTCAAGATGGCTGCCATGCAGCCTAACACTCTTGTTAGTACCACCTGTAACAATGGTACAAGAAACACCACAGCTTTCATTGCACAGAACCACACCCTGGACACTCTGAGGCACCCGACTCGGGTTCAGTTACAGTTTTACACCCAAATTGCACGAAACTGCACTGTTGATCTTGAGGGGTACGCTACTAGAAGAAAAAAAATGGGAAGTTGCAGCCAGCGTCGCAAAACAACATAACCGTAGCGTTCAATGTAAACGGGAACCTACTCACATTATACAATGCTCTCCTGAGCAGGAATTGTGAAAAACTTGAGTGCATGAAAGCTACCTGGTCTTCTCTAAGGCAAACTGTCCACCATAATCTATTCCAAAACGAACAGCCGGCATGCCAGATGTGGCTAAGTGCTGAGAATCTTCAGTGACCACCAAAACAAATCTAAATGAAGCCTGATCATTCCACAAATTTGTCATATAGCTGGAGAACCTTTCAAGTGATGAAGAAAAATGCTGAACGGAAAATGTCCCTGGAGCCAGCATGTGGGCAGGAAGGAGGCTGCTCAAAATTTCAGCAAGACGGCTGCTCTGAGCTTGCTACGCTTTGTAAGAGCAGTAGCCTCAATCTCGTCCCAAGGCAGACAAGTCTTGTATAACATAATTGCCGCTGATATGACACAAAAATGCAGCAAAAAAGTGTCACCGACGATTGTCTCATGTTCGCACCCAATGTCATACAGCAAGAACTACGTCATTCTCCTGAACTGCTCTTGCTGAAAACATTGGCTCTACATACTAGCGACGCTCTATGTTCCATGGCCTGCCATAACTGCAAGTAGAAATGTTTCAGCAAGGTTAGTACCTCTCAAGTCGACAGGGCTTCTCAGTGAAGAGGTGCTCTCAAAAAATTTCCCTCTTGAATGGCTTGAGGTACTCGTTATGCACAAGTCAACTGCACCGAAGAACCTACTCTCGCAATGAGCAAAGCACAGGCTCATTCTATCTGCATTGCATCAACAAACCTGTGACACTCGGGGATTAAAACAAGCTGACGAAGTGTTAAACGTCCCTGGCACTGACATCTGGAGCCTCACACTGGATTCTCAGACAGGCAGAGTACGGTCCACTCCTAAAGCATTGATTCACTGATTGGCTTAATGATTCACACTTGGATATTAAACCCCATATATCAATCAAATCATCAATGGTTCACACTTGTACACAAAAAAACTCGTAGAGAAGTGAGGGGCACCATTATTGAGAGTTCTATAATAATTTTCACATACCATGTGGAGTTTCTGAGTAGGGACACACATCAAGGAAAGCACACAAGAAAGAACTTCAGCATTTTGAGTATATCAAAATGTGATTCAGCAGATTAAACACTTTTTCAGATTATAAATTAGCAGCCAACCACCGCTAGTTGGCGATCCCTTTAAAAGGACACTAAAGGCAATACAGAGGCTTAGACCGATAAAGATTTATACTTGGAACGATTATCGCCATTACATTTGCAATAGGTTGATTGATTAAAGAAAAGCACAATATTGAAGTTCACTTTCGAGATATAGAGCGAAGATCTCGTCACTGTTATATCATGGGATCTCGCCATTGTTACATCATAGTTTTTAAAGCTTTCATTCTCATTTCGGGTAACTGAATCGTCGACAACTTTGCAACCTTGCCTTATTTAAGGCTTACTTGTATAGAACACAATACAATATATTTTTCTTTACTGATAGATAATCAATCAGTCTATCAAAAAAACTGGTGTTTTGAAAAGCTAGTACAAGACTTTCAAAAAAGCAATGCCATCTATCTTTGTCTTGGCAACACACATCGTTCTCCAGAAAGAGCAGGATTTCTGGTAATGTAGAAGAGTGGTTTACAAAATATGCATGACATTTCACAGTAAGAGCAAGATTTCCAGTAATGTGGAAGTACTAAATATATGTCTAAAAGTGCTTTTTCACTTTTGGTGTTCCTTTAACAGTGGACCGCACAGCATATTCGACGTCACATAGACCTGCACTAGAGCTGCAGGTAGAAGAAAAGTATATCCCTGTTTACATGGAAGTCTACCTGAAAACTTGCATGGCAGCCTGACGCTAATTGTGCATTTCCCATCAGAAGCACAGTTCTGACTTGGGCAGCTTTGGCAATGAGCACTCTGTATGAACACTTCGATTGGCAAGGGATTGGTCACACTCTAAGAGAGAATGCCTAGCTGCAGTTATAGTGATAAAAAAAGAGGCTCGCGTTCTGATCGCGCCAAGGTTCTGCTTCACTGAATGCATTCTCGAAGACCTCAGTCTGCTGAAGAAGAAATCTCCTTTAAAATAGCAGAAAAAGCAATTGGTACAACTTTTAAGAGCTCTTTTTAGGGATTTCGAAGCCCTAAAACAGAGCCACACAACTGAAAACTGTCTTCTAGCAGTGTGTGTTGATATTTGTGCGTTTAGGCTACGCCATTTGAGCATAGGGTTTCAGAAGACATACAGGTATTATAGGCTACAGGGCACCATCTATGGCATTTTCGTACACGTTTCAAGGTACCAGCATAGGTATCCGCTGTAGCACCCTAATACTCATCAATAGGTAGGAAACTGGTACCAATGTAACAGCTTAGCTAAACCCTGATAGAAAAGCTGCAATGGTCAATTCGCCAGTCAAGAAGCATGAATACATTCTTGTGGGCACGCAGGGCTCCGTCAGACATACTGTATGCATTTGTTTTACAAAAACTTATCAAATTATCTAGTAGCCAGTGTAATTAAATGCACAGGGACGCAAGCAGGTCCTCTGTGAAGCTTGCTATTTGCGTTTTTCAGAAATTCATGAATATTAGGCATGCAAACCAAAAGCTGTCGAGAAACTTCAGCCTTCTGCAACCGATTATGATCATCAGTGCTTTGTTGAGGTCTAAATTAATTAAAAAGATTAATTCATTCTCAATCAGAAAGTGACCATGACAGATGCATAAGTAGCAGTGCCACTACAATACGGACAAACAGATTTTTACAGATAAACAATGAAATGAGAGATCACTAAGCCTGTACAACTTTCTGCAGTAGATTTTGTTCACAAGATGAATGAATGTGGCACTGTGAGTTGGGATGAATGAAGAAAAAGCACTCTATCGAACTACCGATGCTACAACGAGTTGAAGACTTAAAAGAACACAGCTATAAACAAGCTGTCCAAGCAATGCTAGTGCAATTCAATGAAGTCACAAAAATACGGGGTGCCTCAAATATACAGCAGCCCACAACTAAGGCAGCCAGTTACTTGACAACCACCCTAGTAGCACCAAGTGCTAACACAGCATTGCCACAGTGCTGCCTCATTGTTGCTGCAACATTACAGCAGTAGCAATGCGTGCTACTAGGGAGTTGCGCTCCTCATCACTTCATCATTTTCAACGCTGAGACAAGAAAGGCTGAAAAAGCATGAAGATAAAAAGTTTTAAAGCATACAATCATAGCATCTATTTTGGCTGACTGAAATCAGATGTCATGTAAGTCAACGCACGATGCATCAGCAGAAAGAAACAGTGGCTTCTGCTGCTTTTATATGGCTCTGATGCAAGCGCTCATCAGCTTTGACGTACAGTACACAAAGATGATGCGGCCCTCTGCAACCACACGAACAAGTGAGGCCTAAAACAGTGGGATAAAAAAAAGATAAAAAAACTAAAAACTCCAAAAACGAGCAGCAGCAGCAATGACAGACACTACAGAGATTCCTGTAGTGTGAACAGCGGGCGACAGAACGGCGGCTTTGGGCTTTTGTTTCTTTAAAACGAGTGCATCGACATAAGTATGAGCATGGAGAGCGTGCCGAGACATAGACAGAAAGCCCGTCGAGTGCTGCTGTTTACATGCAGCATCAAAGTTCCGTTTTTTAAAGGCACATCTAATCTAGCGAATATCAACAGCAAAAGAGCTCGACAAGCGCCCCTTGCATAAGGCTACGGCGAGAAATAAAATTGGCACGCACACTCAACTTGGAGAGGGGCAGAGGGTCTAGCAGGGGGCGCCCTCTGGATATTTTGTACTAGCGCGCCCTCTGCAGGCGAAAATGGGAAAATGGGGGTGGAAAAAAACACGCAAAACAATGGCACTGTGCGGCCGCTGAGGACGAAGCCGCCCTTCGCAAGAAGGCACTGACAAAACTAATCTGACGCCAGAGCACAACGGCGACGAAAAAACGAAAGAAAGAAGTAAACAAAGCGGAACCGGACAGCCGGGTCTAGGCGCCACTGCCGACCTCGCCAGTTGCCCCCAGCTTGTCCCTCATATATTATGTTGTTCTGGCTGTACACATGGCCGTATATACAGACGTATGTGTGCAATTGTGTTTGTGTGTTCGTGTACAGCTTAGAGTAAAACAAAAGAAAAAAATGTGTCCCTCTACAAGGAGACGAGCAACGGCGAGAAACGTGATGATGCACACCAGGATTTCTTCCTGGGCGCTACTGGCTCTATGTACAAGTGACAATGTGTTTTACCAAGCTAAATTATTGCCTTAACATGAGCAGGGTGCGCCTCAGTCATAAAGGCTGGGGCTCCCAGTTTGCATAGATTTGTAGCAAAAGTTCATAGGCGTACTTGTTGTTGTGACTCTGAAGACTTGTGGCAACTTCTAAAACTGGCTATGGCCAAGAAGAAACTCAATCGAATAACGGAAAGCTTGCATGCCATTTCTACACAAGATGCCCGGCAACAATTCATTACATAATTTGTGTGTTGTTTGCATGTGTATATGCATTATATATATAATATGTGTGTATAATATGCTATAACGTTGTATATATATATATATATATATATATATATATATATAACTGTCTCTAGCGTGGAGCTTGTAAAAAAAGCCCTTACTCCTGTCACTCCTTTTTGAAAAAATGAGCTACAGAGCAGTATGTCTAAAAAGGGCTATGGTACAACAATCAAGTCTCTGCCTATCACAAGAGAAGCAATGCGTCCTGTCTTTCTGGCCTTGGCACCCAAGTCTGGGAAGGATGGGGGACCCCTTGAGCTCAGGACGGCTTAGACGTCTCTTCGGCTTCTCCACTGGCCACCGAGAAGAAGCGCTCTGAAAAGAGGGCAAGAGTGCGTGTTTCACCAAAATGAAGATTGACATCATTCCGTCTGGTCAGGATGATGCATATGAGTGAACGGCACTGCGGCGACCCAAGTAAACATTTGAAGCGCACACAGAAAAAGATGTTTGAGCTTCTATAGAGGAGGCCTGTTCACAAGTACAATGGAAATGTGTCCGAGCAGTTCGCTCCAAGTACACGCAGGCAGCGTGCATGCACTGATGGCCATAGCTTCTGTTGAGAGTGCATGGGACTCAATATAAAGATGTCGTGACAACCCATTTTCTCTAGGAAGAACACATGCCTTTCCCCAGTCAATTGCATGTCCACCTTAGGCACGCTCAGAAAAAGCAGTGGATTCCTTTACACTACCTTCACATCACATCATAACTGTGCTGCTTGAGAAGCCTTTCACCAGTTTTGCCAATATACATGTGGTCACAATTCATGGATGGGACAATGTGCACCACACCGAAAGAACATCTTTAAGTAATCAGTAGGCTTGTGGGAATAGTGAATTTTAGGTTCAAATCATATTCAAAGCAAATCGCGATTTCGACGGAAAAATTTCGAATCAAATTCAAATGTATACATTGCATACATATTACAAAAAATGGGCATGTTTGTACTGATTTGAATAACCTGCACAATATTTTTAAAAAATTCAAACAAGGCCTGGGCAAATGCTATTTTTCTGCATCAAAGAGAGTGAAAACAACTTTGTATGGTAGCAGGATTTGACTTTCAGTAGAATGCGAGTGATAGCCGGTAAAGTACGTTATTTTTTAAAATTTGCTAAATTTGGAGCGCATAAGTTAGTATAACAAGCTTTTTAACTTCAAAAATGAATCGATGTGATGATAATATCGCCAGTTACCATTGAAGATTAACATAGGCTTCCCAGCAGTGCAGATTTCCCCTGATTATGTGTTTTCACTAGGCTTGTCTGAATAGTGAATTTTAGGTTCAAAGCCAATTCGAAGTGAATACAGTGAAAACTCGTAAATTCGAACTTGAATAATTCAAATTTATGAATAATTCCAACTGTAAGTTATAGTCAGGCCAAGCTCCATACAAGCCTATGAATAAAAAAGCCCGTTAATTCAAACGCGAGTAGGTTCCGTCGCGGATAATTCAAACTACGTGCCACCGTGCCGGCGGCTTGGCTATTCACTCGACAGGGAGGCTGCCGAGTTATGAGGCGGCGTGGACAGGAAGCGGAGAGAAAAACAGAGAAACTGGCACGGAGGCCAGAGTGCAGAAAACAGCGCCACTCACTCTTCACCCCCCTCCTCCCACAATCTCTCTCTCTCGGCGGCGGCCAGCTCTCCGTTCTACGTAACCTCCAAGATTTGTTTTTTTTTTAGAACTGATCTCGGAGCCTTTGAAAATCCTGAGTAGTTGTCGCTGTTAGATGGCATAACCAGCACACGGGTGCGTTGCACACCTCGGTTGTTGGTGCTGGGAGTAGCTTCTGACTGTTGCGATTCTCTGTGTTGGTGTTAGGCCTCGGCTAACGTTTGTTGCGGTAGTGCCGGTAGTAGCTTCCCGTCTATCGGGATTCTGCTGCTCCGACTTGATGGCATGTGCCCGCGGCAAATACCGTGCCAAAACACTTCAGGAGAAAACTGATATCCTGCCGGAAGTGGACGCCGGACTCTTGCCTAAGCAAGATATCGCGAAAAAGCAAGGGATACTGAAAACGACGCTATCTACTTATATAAAAAATAGGAGGACTATTGAAGACGCCTTAGAGGCAGAAGTTGCGAGCAAAAGAAGAAGGTTACGGCCCGCAAAGTATCCTGACCTCGAGAAAGCGCTTTTCATTTGGATAAAGGAAATGCGTTCGCAGGACATACCACTGAATGGCCCAGTCATACTGGCAAAGGCAGCGAACTTTGCCCTGCAGCTAGACTACGACGGCTTCGCTGCTTCAGACGGGTGGTTGCACCGTTTTCGCGAGCGCTACGACCTCGTTTTCCGTGCTGTGTCGGGTGAAATGAGCGCTGTCAACATGGAAACGTGTGAAGGTTGGTGTTCCGAAGTGCTTCAAGGCTACATAGAGAAGTATTCTCCGCAGGACATATTTAATGCGGATGAAACTGCCTTATTTCTCAAATTGCTGCCCGCCAAAACTATTTCGTATAAAGGCGACAAGTGCACGAGAGGGAAGAAAAGTAAAGAACGGATAACCGTGATAGTTGCTGCGAACATGACCGGGACCGAGAAGTTGCCTCTGTTTGTGATAGGCAAATCGAGAAGTCCTCAAAGCTTTAAGAACATCCGGTCTCTCCCATCAGGCTACGCGGCCAACAAAAGGGCCTGGATGACAGGGGCATTGTTCGCGCAGTGGCTGGGGAAGCTTGGCAAGAAGTTTGAACGCTGTGGCCGCAAAGTCCTGCTCCTTGTGGACAACTGTTTGGCTCACAAAGTCAACGTTTAGACGAAGGCCACTGAGCTGGCCTTCTTTCCAGCAAACACGACAGCAGTACTGTAGCCCATGGACCAGGGTATAATTAGAAATTTAAAATCATTTTATCGGCGTCATATGTTGGAACAAATTATTTTGCGCAATAACTACCAAGTGACGCTCCTAAGTGCACTACACATGCTTGTGCGTGCTTGGGAGCAAGTGACAGCTCTTACGATAGCAAATTGCTTTCACCACTGTGGCTTCAGCACCGAAGCTCTGCAAGCTGACGAGCCACTAGTGCTCAAACACGGTGTCGCCGCCCCCATGGTGGACGTTTTGGAAGACTTCTGCTTTGTGGACTACGTCGATGTGGACTCAAGTGCAGTGGTGTGTGTGGTGCACTCACGGTTGGCGACATATGTCAGGTGAGAAGTGCAGAACCTGTCGCTGCCAGTGACAATGATGAGGAGGAGGACGAAGCACCAGTGCGGCCCTCTGCTGTGGAAGTCATGGCCGGATTGAATGCCGCCCGTCTTTTCTCAAGTTTTGAAGAAGGCGCAGAAGAGGTTTTCTGCCAAATTCGCTCGTTAGATCAAAAAGTGCTGGTTGTCACCTTCAAGAAAAAAAGGCAGACCGCAATCACAGATTTTTTTCAAAAAATAAATTGTTATGCCCTACTCGCAGTGTACTACTGTTGTTCTTCACTTTCGTTAGTTCGAACTTTCGTTAATTCGAACTGAGGTGGCTTCCCCTTGCGGTTTGAATTAACAAGCTTTTACTGTAGTGATTTTAATAGAATAATTTCGAGTCGAATTCGAATGTTACGTACGACATATGTTAAAAAAAAAGAATACTTATCATGACCTAACTAACCAACACAACATTTCTTTTGAATGAAAATAGGGGCTCTATGCAAATGACATTTCTTTTTTGCGTTCGAAAAAAGTCGAAACACCCTTGAGTAGTAGTTTCGTTAGGATGCGAGTGATAACCTGTAAGATAGTTAACGTTTTTAAAATTTATTATACTTGGAGCAAATAAGCCGTCATAACAAGCTTAATAAAATGAAAAATGGATTTGAGGGTAACGTAATCATGGAGCCAGAAAACATGCTTATTGCTTGACAAATTCACTACCGCAAAGTTTCTAGAATTAGTCTAGTACAAGCGGAGTTCCAAAAATTTGTCACGTGCTGCAGTTGCATTCTCTCTTCTCGCCCCGAAGAAATAGCTGGAAGTTAAACAGAGAGAAATGTCATGGCAAAAAAAAAAAAAAAAAAAAAAAAAAAACGTCACACACACCGGGTGACTTTGAGAACCTTTTTTTTTCCCTTTGAATACGTGGCTTTTCAGTGTTATCGCGCACATACTCCTGGACAAGCGGCGGCCTTTCGCGGCGGCCCGGTAACGATGAGCGCGTCATGCTCAAATCAGCCAATGGCTGTGACAAATGATTTTTGAGCTTGTAGTGTCATTGGCCAAGGGAAGAAGGTGATTTTTAGCTTTGAAAATTTATTGTGAATTACAGGCCGCTTGCTGCATTATAATATTTGCCTTGCGAATTCTCGGCAGCCTCGCATACCAATCAGCAGCGATTTCTGACCATGTTCAATAAGTGTTGCAGAGCCCTTTTAAATTTAAATGAGGGCTTCACGGTGCTTTCACGGCTTAGCACTCCTACATTGCAGTGAAACCACCTTTATAGGCAGTAACAAGCGGACTAATATACACCTATTCATTCATTGTGAATACTTAGAAAATATTCGATAACTTAAATTCGAATCGAAGCGAATTCGAATACTTAACTCTACGAATATTCGAAGCATTCGAATTTTCACACAAACCTAGTTTTCACAGCTTAGCACAACTTCAATGAAGCAAAACCACTTTTACAGGGAGATTACATTTGAACTAACATACCTTTGAATAAATGCTTTTACGGCTTAGTACTGCTTCGCTGCAGCGAAACCACCTCTACAAGATGTCACATGCGGATTATTGTGCATCTATCCTTTCGTTTCGAATGATTCACAATTTTTAATAACTTTCAATATTATAATATGAAGCGAATTCGAATAAGCAATTAATCAGAATCATTCGTTAGAATATTTGGATCACTCGAATATCCGCACAAATATAGTAATCTATCCTTCACACTGACCAATGACTTTTGCAGTTTCTGGTCAGGAACATGTGCCCCTTGGATGCTATAGGCTTGCAAAATATGGCTTAGGGCTTATGGTGACCCCTGCTCGTAACTGCAGCGGACGATCACCGCAGGTTCACGCTTAGCGAGCCACAGGGCCGTTACTCCGTTTACTCGCGTGTAGCGCACCGCTCCGCGCGCGCTCAACTGATAAGGCGTTTAGCGCGGCGCGGCAATCAGACAGTGTTCTAATGTAAAAGTACACAACACTTTATTGCCTCTGGCGGCACCCCGAACAACAGTACAACGTCCGCTCCCGGGACGCGGGTAGCAAAGGCACCTGCACGCGGACGATCACAATAAGGGGAAAACCGCGAGCACGTCGCAGCTAGCAAAGGCGAGCTTTGACACGCCGGTCGGGAAAAGGTCCCTCGC